GGAGAAGCAGGTAGGACATGCTTAAAAACAGCCTTCTCTGGGAGTGCTGAGAATGCAATGTAGACATACACAGAGTTTCTGGCCATATTCCCTTGTTGGCTGTTTGCTCATAGAGAGGAATGTTGGCCCAGCCATTCCGGTTTTTGCCCAGTCTCCAGTTTGATCACAAGGTGAGCAGAGCTGTGAAGGGGAATGAAGGGAGGTGTCTTCTTTATGGGATGTGGCCAACAAAGGTAGCTGGGACTAGTTGTGTGTAGACTTCACTGAAGACTACCTGAAAACATGGATATGGGCAAAAAAGCAGAACAGGGCCAGAAGCAAAAACAGAACAGGGCCAGTTGTTACAGTGGAAGTCAAAGAACAGCTGTGTGAGGTCCAATATTTAGATTTATTAAAAAATCTTAGTAAGTGGAACGCTGCAGCTACCAAGGAATTTCTGAAGAAGTATATAGCACATTAGTCACGTGTTCTGTTCTGCTTTTAACAGTTTTCTAGCACATCACAGGGCTTTTTTGGATTGTGCCACAAACCACTGGTGACTTTACAGAGTATTTGAACCATATTCCTCATTGATTCAAAGAAGATCATTCCTTTGCCTCACTAGTTCACCTATTAAGTGACCAGGAGCCTATTGAAGATAATACTAAGTGAGAAGCCCAATATCCTACCTAGGGGAGAATCTTTCTTTTGTAAGCTCTTGTCTGCAACAGCCTTAGCCGTATTGGGTTGACACCTTCCTTTAAAACCCATGACAACTGCATTCAATGGCTGGCAGAGGGTGCTGCTTCATTCTTCCCCACAAAGCTTGAACATTCCTCACTGCCTCCTTCACTAGTGACTCTTAATGGCATCCCAGCACGTCTATAGGTTGGGGAGTGTCCTTCTCAGCAGCTCAAAGGCAGAGAGGGATCTTGGAGTCATAATTAACTCCAAGATGAACATGAGCCGGCAGTGTAACGAGGCCATCAACAAGGCCATTCGCATCTTGTCGTGCATTAGCAGGTGCATGACTACTAGAACAAAGGACATGATACTCCCCCTCTATGCAGCACTGGTCAGGCCACAGTTGGAGTACTGTGTCCAGTTTTGGGTGCCGTACTTCAAGAGGGATGTGGGGAATCTCGAGAGGGTCCAGAGGAGGGCCACTCGCATGATTAGTGGCCTTTGTGATAAACCCTACCGGAGGAGGTTGAGAGAGTTGAATCTCTTCAGCCTTCACAAGAGATGGCTGAGGGGAGATCTTGTGGCCACCTATAAATTTATTAGGGGAGGTCAATGGGGAATAGGGGAAGCGCTGTTTACTAAGGCGCCCCAGCGAGTGACTAGGAATAACAGGTGTAAACTAGTCGAGAGTGGATTTAGATTAGATATTAGGAAGAAATTTTTCACAGTAAGGGTGGCCAGGATCTGGAATGGGCTTCCAAGAGAGGTGGTGCTATCACCTAGCTTGGAGGTCTTCAAGAGGAGGCTAGACAGTCACCTGGCTGGGGTCATCTGACCTCGGTCCTCTTTCCTGCCAGGGGCAGGGGGTCGCACACGATGATCCATTGTGGTCTCTTCCAACTCTACAATCTATGAATCTATGAATTTATGAATCTCAAGCCTCCAAGCCTAAAAAGTCTCTGCCACTATAGCCACACAGGGCCCCCTCGAGGAAATTCAGAGTATGCTAACAGAAGGAGATTTTCTGTTGACATAGCTACGTCACCTCACCAAGTGACTTAAGTCAAATTCATGAAAACCCTCTTCTTTTGCCTAGCTGTATCCAAACTGGAGGTTTTACTTCCATGGGTGTGTCTTTTTTCATGCCTCTATGCCTGCAAAAATCTGTAGTGAAGACTAAGAGATAAAATTGTGATAGGAGCTTGTAACACAACATTTGTTGTTATTCAGTTGCTTCCTTTCATAATTATTCCCCAATAAATTAATTGATGGGTACTTATTTTTAGCTCTTTGATCACAGACTATTAAATTGAATAGAAAATTGAGAGAGCTATACATTTGGGAAGAAAATAATATGACACATTTCACAAACTATTTAGGTTAAAGAACTGAATCCCACTTAAAATCTTTTTATTCAGCGCTACTCATCATGGTAATCCTTGTGCTACCATCAGGATTTCTAGACAATAATTCATTCTGAATGATTTCACGAAGTAAGGATCACTGCCTGGCCTCCCTTCCTGGAATTCTTAAAAGCACCAAAAAATGAAAGACCTACATCATGTGTTTTGAGAGAGAGCCCTAAGTAAAAGACAGTGTGTTAGTTTCATTATACCAGGAAAAGTCCTTTCAAAATAATTTCTTCCCCATTAGCTACTTCTCATCTGCAAGAGCAGCACATTACCCTATTGGGTATGCACAGGTAGCCATCACCTCTCCCATCCTGTCTCCAGCTCTGCTCTTTTCCTACTCTATTTTGCTAGAAGAGTAGGAATTAAAGTGCATTGATCCAATCATAAAAGATCTCCAAAATGTAAATTGAAGTGAAAATGTCGTGATTCTCAATTATTTTGTGACGGTACAAATATCTAGAAAATCAGGATCAGCACTTGACTGTTATAAATACTTAAGCTCTTTCTAAAAATTAGTAGGTCAGTGGGACTAGAATAGCACAATCAAACTGGGGAAAGTACAATTCTAAAGTTATATTTAAAGCCTCACCAAATTTCCAAGTGAAGGATATAGCAGCCAGGTATGCCCTCATTCCATCTTCAATTGTCTGTAAGTTCCGTTCTAGCCATGTTGGCCAACCTACAGTCCAATCCAAAGTGCACAATTATGGGAGACTCCACCACATGTAAGGGTGTAGCTAATTTAGCTGCACAATGGAAAGAGATCTGAAGATGCACATGGGCTGAATTATGTGCTCCAAAGGAGCCTTTGGCTCTTGCTTTGCAGAATTTATTAGTTGCTGTTGCACACATGGTAAGCTTTGCCGGAAGGAGCCCAGCTCTGAGGCACGTCAGCTTTCTAATGCTTTTAAGAGCTGTCGGAAAGTGACTTATTCCTGGTGCCCCCTAAGTTGCAATGGAAAAGGGCTCCCTCCTGGGGAGCATTGGCCAGGGTTTGAAAGTGCTGTCTAGTCAAATAGCTCTTGCTTATTGAATTTATTCACACAATTACCGTTGAGTATCCAAGGCTGTAGAGGAAAAATTGACATATTGTATTATTTGAGAAATAGTGTATGATCATGTAATTAAAGGCAGGAATGTAATACTTATGCACAAGGGCGGGGGACTGGGTTAATTTCAGTTTTTCCTGGCTAACCAAGGGCATTATTGTGTAACTTTAATATTCTCCTGATGGCCAGCATCTATATGGAATTCATATATTTGTTTATGATTTTTCTGTTAAATATTCACCCATCATACTCTGTGGCACAATAATTAAAAACATCATGTTAGCTGCCAATAAAAATATTTTTGTGATTTGGTAATTATTTCCAATGCTTGTGCTCCCCCCAGTTGCCTTCCTGTTATATAATGTATAAAGTTAATCTTGGTGATGGAAAAATAAAGTAGCAGGGAAGACTGGAAATCTTCCAATCACAAGAGCTGCTGGATTGGAAGCAACAGCCAATCTATCCCACCACATCTTCTAGGTGGTCACTATTTCCTCTATGTTAGAGATGCTTTTAATATTCATAACAGCTGTGGAATGAAGCATTGTGCATGAGAAGAAACCAACATAAAGTCTTTATGTTTCTCCATCAAACCAAAACTACTTTGCATTGAGTTACAAAGTGCAAACTCTAACCAATTTCCCAGATGGATTTAATTTCAACCTGACCTACTGCCAAGTGAAATAAATTTCCACTCTATTAGAAATCCACCCCATTCTTTCCATGCCATGCGCACAAGGACCTGCACACATAAGCAGCTCGCCTCAGTTGCATAATATAGGCATAAATCTACTACCCCTACTCACTTGAATAGTTTATTTGGGACGACCTGTAGGCAAGCCAGATTTGGTCTACAATACAGATTTTAATATTTAGGAAATTGAGGGCTTCAGAATACATAAATGTTCATGTGCTATACATGATAATCGTTATAAACATTTTTAATAAAAAAGTCATTATACAACAATTTTTCTCTATTTAAGTTTAGTTCTAGATAACAGTGTGGGTACTAGAGGAGCCAATTATTAAACACATCTAAAATGTCTAGGTAAATACTTGATTAAAAATATGCACCATATATTTTATGCTATAATTTGGGCATACTTTAAGTAAGTTGTTCAAGGGCATTGATTTGGCTTAGAGAATCATGCACCAAAATACAGAAGAATAGAAGAGCACACTTTCAAACATTTACAGAAGTAAAACAGATAATGTTAGCAGTTAAGCCACTGCCTGTACATACTAGCACCAAGTCATTATTCACTGGGGTCATCTGTACTACCCATATCTGAGAAACACTGCAAGAACAACTGCACTCTATTTTTAAGTACAGAAATGTTTGTTCATATTAAAGCTTAGGAGAGTAGTGGAGAAAGGGACAGGCAGTGGATTAAATTACTCAGCTGAGCATTTGTTTTCCTCTCTGTCTTTTACCATTCTCCACAAGGACTTTTTTGACAGCCGCACAAAATAATTGCCAAAAGGCAAATGTATAAAATCTTGACTTGACCCATTTTATGTTGCTTTTTTGCCCTCCCATGTTTGCAGGCAGATCTAATACTGCAAATAATGTTATGTAGAAAAACATGTCATGTAATTCCTGAAGAATCAAAGAAACTGTATTTTTTCTTTTAGTGAGTTTTGTGTCCTTTATCATAGGAACATATCAATTAAACAAGTAACTGAAGCAATTCTACCAGCACACCTACAACTCTAGATTATGGTAGCAGGAATAACGTATAAAAATTGTGATCCAGTTAAAAAGTTTCACTCAGCTTCCAGCATGCCCATTAGCAGATGGCTGATTAGTCAGAGTACAAATAAATAGTACGACCTACTAATA